GAGGGGGGGGGGGGGAGAGGGAGAGAGAGAGAGAGAGAGAGAGAGAAGGGAGGAGTTGGGAGAAGTTGGCTTTCAGAGAAGAGGCCATAAGGGTCAATAGATATGTTTTTATATGGAGGGCAATTGAGTAATTTCAAGTCCCCAAATGATTATATAAAAATAAGATTTGTAAAGTGATCATTTGAGAATAAAAGTTTTGAAAAGTGATTATAACTTATATAAGCATATTTCCCTAAGAAATTTGCTATTTTTGTGGATAAACATGCAGATGAAATTATGGGGAAGTCGGACAGATTTTTATTTCTAAATAAAAGGACTAAATGCCCCATGAATGCAAGGGAAAATGTTGTGTCATTTGTTGAGAGTGTTTGTCTCACATTGAAAAGTTAAGGGATCAAGCCTGGGTTTATAAGGAGTTGGACTACTTTCCCCATTACCAATTGGTTTTGGGGTGGAACCTCAACTTCCTTCATCATTGGATTAGTATTTTTATGATTCGAGAATATCATGATGGCCAAATAGTGATGATGAGATGAAACAAAATTAACATACTACTCTTTCTCTCTGAGTTTCTCCGTTTCTTTCTCAATTTGGCACCGCTGTCACAGTCCGACCACCACAATCACACATACATGTAGATCTACTATTTACAGATTGCCATAATTTCTTTCTCAGGTTTAGTTGTGTTATTCATTGTTTGCTTTTCTAAGTTCTTTCACATGTAATTTCTTTCTCAAATTTAGTTGTGTTATTCTTTGTTCGCTTTTCTAATTTATTTTTCTTTTGTAGGATGCTGATTTCAGTCATTGGATTTAGGGCTGGCATTTTAGACCAAAAAATGGCAAATACCAACCGAGGTTTTACCACATCTAAACTGATTTATCATGAAAACCGACCGCAACAGGCAGTTTATAGAACCGGCCGCAATATGCGGTTGCGGTTCCACATATCCAAATAATGCGGTATACTGCAAACTGTAATATAATTGAATTCATTATTAAAATAAATACTTATAATTATTTTATATTAACTAACATAGACTAGGACTTCATTATTTAGATTAATCTCTCTCTCCTATCTTATTTCTTATCTCTTTTTCTTTTCTTCTTCTTTTTCTTTTTGTTATCTCTCTCTCTCTCTCATCTTCTTCCCTTCTGTGGGACTCACCTAGGCTTTGAATGTATTACTAATGAAATGTATTCTCCGCCGATCTCTTGAAGTTCCCTCTTTTTATAAAATAAAATAAAATATCAGCCTTGAAGAAATATCATTTGAATATTTAGTGAGTTAATATAACTTAATTAGTAAATAATTAAACTTTTATCTAGTAGGAACATGGGTTTCAATTAGTATTGCAAACTCATCGATTGTATTGGTAATTTTGTTAGGTTGTTATTAGTGGGTTAGCCGAGATAATCTCTAACTTGCAATCAACTATTAGCAGGATTGTGAATTGTATTGGTTTACTTTTAATAATAAATTTTATTCTCTCCATATATGAGTTAAATAATCATTGCTAATGATAGAAAGTTCTACTTATTTTAGTAGTATTTTTAAGCATGAGCATACTCTTTTTGTTGATAGAAATTTATGTAATGTTATGTTGTTACCTATACCGACAATTACGGTATACCACAATATGTGTCGGTTGGTTCATAGTTTGTCTTTTCACCATACCGCAATATATCGGCCAGTTCACGGTTTCATTAAAAAGTTGCAGTAACCGAACCGCAACCACCCCTTGTTGGACTGATGTTTTGGTGCGGTCGATTGAAGAGGTGTCCAAGTTTCCCTTCTTTTTTTTTCTCATTCTTTTGTTTCCTTGTGACCAATTGGTTCAGGTCATGAATCCTTTTTTAAGATTCCGCTATTGTTCGTGCCTCTCACTCACATTTGGATTTTGAATAAAAATTTTGCTATCTTTTATACTCTTGTGAGGTGCTTCTATTTTATAGAGCATCTGTTCCAATAAATAAAAAAATTACTACTACATAAACGATCAATGAACCATTTTCTATGTTTGGTTTTACTCCTCGTTGAAAATGGCATGGAGAGAGTGAAGTGAGGTAAGAACCTTTTACAAGTAATGGTTGATAAGAAGTTTGAGACATGTGGCCTAGACAACATTGGATCGAGCTATGAGTATTAGACAGACTCCGCTTGCCCCATAGAGTCTAACTCTTATGTAAGTCTTGTTTTCTTTTAGAGGCATTTATACTAACACTCATGAGGTTTTGAGGGTTTTCACATAACCCTCTAAGGTCTTAGAAAACAAATTTTCCCTAAGGTTTCAAAATTGTTACAGATAACTCCATAAATCCAATTCATAAGAAAACGAAGAAAAAAAAAACCTAGTTCATAAGACTCTTCGTACTCCGTTCCCCCAAGAAAAAGAAGATGTTTCATACTTCTCGTCCATATCTTCTTCATATGCTATACTCCTTTGCAGCAGCTTAAAAAAAGGAATTTCAACCAATGAAGGGGTTGTAAAGAGAAAGAAGAGTGGAGAGTATATGGCCCTTTTTTTAGAGATTGTCGTATACCTAGTAGTGGAGATTAGCCACATGGTGTTGGTGATGAAAACATGCATGCAACTTGTTCAAAATTTTGAAGGTTTTAAGGATGATAACGAAAGTGAAGATGGTGATGGTAGTGATCATGAGATTTATGTATCTGGAGATGCTGTGAGGTGTTCCCATTTATTGATGATGAGGATGATTTGAGGGTTTAGGTGTTCTTATTTTGAAAGTTGAAGGGGTGTTTGTGCCAACACAAGCTAAGCTTAAGCTAGCTAGTTTGAATTGAACAAGTGTATTGGGGAAGAGAGGGTCAGGCTTTGGTTTGATAAAAATTGCCAAATATACATATTTTGAAGAAATAAAAGACCAATCGATACGATAACCTTTCCGCTGGATGGTGGTGTCAAGAAGTAAGGCTAGCGGAGCTAGTCAGAAGACAAGAGATGGATGTTCAATTCAATTCCATTAGCTAGCCTCCTTATTAATATAAGCAAGTAAACCATCGCTCTGTGTTCTCCTTCTCTGATGCAACCACCCTACACTTCTACAGCCCAATACAGTGTCTTTCGTGGCTTTGGCCCAACATTTGTGTATTTCTCCTTTGTTAGGCTCTTTTTACTTTTCCCCGCCTTGTTGGGCTGATTAAAATAACCGTTAAATAGCTGTCACGTGTCTTACATTTTCATCCTTATCAGCTTTCCATCTTTGTCGTATTAAAGGAGCCTGGCCTCACAATAGTGAGACAGAGAAGAACATACATTTCCTATTTTCAATTCTGCCGTTCTTTATCTTTTGCCTTGTTTCAGCACCCTTGTACCCATCATTTTCTTTGGGTGTTTTCCTTTAACCAAACACAACAAACTAATAAAGGACCTTTACTAGCTAGTGCTGCGCCCTTTTTTCATCTCAATCCTTATCCATTTAATTATATATGGAGAGAGAGAGAGAGAGAGAGAGAGAGTTGATAAAAGCCATGCCCTCCATTATTCTTGCTTTACTCTTAACCCCATCTTCCTTATGCTGTATCTTGTTGAGCAATATATATATATATATATATAAAAGGATGGTCCTGCAGCATTGTATGCATATCCTTCCATATTATTCCAACTTTGCTTCAATTTGCCAAATATTACCTAGGCTACTAACATTTGTTTGTTTTGTTTTATTTGATCAATTTCTACTAACTATCTCAGAGACAAATCTGGAGGCAAGGGCAACAGTAACATCTGGCTGGCTACAGGAAGAAATGGATTTGAGGAAAACACGACATGGGGGTTTCAGATTTCCTTCACTTCCACGTATTTTCAATTGGCAAACTTTCTTTTTCAAACCGTTGATTTCTTCTTATTTGTTCTAATGTCATCTCATTTATTAGGCTTTTTTCTTTTCATTTTTCTTAACGCGGTCTGGTTGGCTTCTATTCCTAAAGTCAATACGCATGGATTTGACTTTAAAAAATAACGTCTGCATTTTTATTTTTTTTGTTGTTGCTGGAATAAATAAAATCTGCATATTTTCCGAGAGGTTGCCGCGTGCATACATGCAATTGAAAATTCCAAAATTCCCTTTCAACCTATAATGATTTCGAATAAACCAGAAAGTTAAATCCAAATTATTATTTTTTCCAAAAGGAACATGAATGTCTTATCGATGCCTAATTATGTGGACTTCCTTACAATATTATATTTGCACTAATCCTAATTGAACAACTGGTTATCTACTAAACCCTTAATTAAGATCTTGAGAGATGTTGTGGCTACTTTCCCTAGCCTATGATTTTGAACTCCATAGTTTTAAACCAGTACAATCTCATATTAATTATGAAAAACTAAACCAGAGTAGTAGGTTTAAATTTCTCGAGATATTATAATTAAGGATCAATTATAGACTATAGTAAACCCCTCAAATTATGGGTTTAATTACAAACTCATATTCAATCTTTAAAAACTTATTTGACCGATACTCCAATTTATACGAACCCTACAAATAACACTCTGTTATCCAGTTTGTTCATAGATCTATTAAATGTTGATGTGGCCAATGTAAATCACATTTTTAAAGCCGATTTGAACTCCACATAGAAAAAAACAATTAAAAAATTGTAAGATTAAGAACTTTGTTTCGGTGCTTTCCTTTGTAATAATATATATAAGAAACTTCTGGCAAAGGAAGACGTGTACCTATTTCTCATAAATAATGCTTGTTGTCCTTGATCGATGTGTTTATCCTGTGGACTAGTCGTTGATGACTGGTTTAAAGGTTGCAGTTCTTCCTTAATACGGACGGTCATGAATGATCGTACGTACATATAACGTCATTGTTGTTCAGTTGCTTTATTTTATGATACAAATGCTCTGTCTGTTCTTGATTTTATGACACAATACTCATATATATCAAAGTTATAAGCATGCAGATAACACATGGAAAGAAAGTTATATATTAATTAATTACCACCATTTTGACAAATTAATTCATATGTCAATGTCATCATCTTATTGTGGGATAAAAAACTTCCATGATTAGCTATAAGATGGCACAATGGCATTTAAGTTTCCCTCATTCAGCTAAGATGCCGCTTTCCTTCCTTCCAGATGGTCAAAAGTTAAAAGCTAATTAAGATGTTTCTCATTTTCAATCTGCTGGTCACGGTTAGTACAATCTCACTGTTTCTCACGCTAGCTAGCCTATATATAAATCATACAACTGCTAGTGCCTCTCTCATATTGATTAACACAAGAGATCATTCGATATCGATATCGAAAATGCCATCTTCTTCTTCTTCTTCTTCTTCTCCTCCAAATAATTACAATATTAAAATATTGGCAAGTATTTTGTTTGCCATGTTATTAATCTTGTGTGCAGGTGCAGGATATGGTGAGGCCCAGCTGAGCCCTACGTTTTATGAAGAAGACTGCCCAAATGCCACAAGCATTGTGCGTGCTGTCATTGGAGAGGCTTTGCAGACAGATCTCCGTATTGCTGCCAGCCTCACCAGGCTTTTCTTCCATGACTGCTTCGTCAACGTACATATACATATGCTTTATTACATTATACCTGCATATGCATGCATATCTATATGCATCAAAAATCCTCTTACGTACATATATATGGCCTGATATAATCTATTTAATTTCAGGGTTGTGATGGATCAGTCTTGTTGGACAACAGTAGTACCATAGACAGCGAGAAAGGAGCATTTCCAAATAACAACTCAGCCAGAGGATTTGATGTTGTGGACAACATCAAGACTGCTTTGGAGACTGCTTGCCCCGGCATTGTTTCCTGTGCTGATATTCTCGCCATTTCTGCTGAAGCATCTGTTTCTTTGGTACATATATATATTTCAACAACAATACATATACACATATATATATATATATATCGATCTCTTCTTGAAATTAATTTTATGGTTGCAGTCTGGAGGCCCCTCATGGACAGTTCTATTAGGAAGAAGGGATAGCACAACAGCGAATCGCACGGCTGCCAACGAAGCCCTTCCAGCTCCCTCTTTCACCCTTGACGAACTCAAGGCCAGCTTCGCAGCTGTAGGCCTCGACACCACTGATCTGGTTGCACTATCCGGTAAGTAAGGAAGGAAGGAAAAGGAAAAAATGAAGGAAATATTAATATACGTACGTGTGTGTGTATGTTGCTCTTTAGTGGCAACATTTGACATGCATAACATAACAGGTGCTCACACATTTGGGCGTGCTCAATGTCAATTTTTCTCCGACCGATTGTATGACTTCAACAGCACAGGCAGTCCTGATCCGACCTTAAACTCAACCTACTTAGAAACACTGAGTGCGTTATGCCCGGAGTCCGGGAATGGGAGTGTGCTGGCCGATCTCGACCCTTCAACTCCTGATGGTTTCGATGCCGACTATTTCTCTAATCTTCAAGTTCATTATGGCCTTCTCCAAAGCGATCAAGAGCTATTTTCGACCAGCGGGGCTGATACCGTTGACATTGTTAACAGCTTCAGCGCTAATCAAAGCGCCTTCTTTGAGAGCTTTGTGATATCTATGAATAAAATGGGGAATATAAGCCTCCTGACCGGAACTGATGGAGAGATTCGATTGAACTGCAGTAAGGTTAATGAAGATTCATATGGATCATCTGCTACTTTGATAGCTGAGTATTAAGGCTATGTAAATCTAATCAAGCTTAATGCCTGATATGATGATTACGATGATCATGTCTATGACTTCATGTTCGAGATTATATGACTACGAGCTCATCACTTTCTATGAAAGTTCTTGAATAAAACTATGACATGATTTACTATTATACTTGTTTTTTTTTCTTCTTCTTCTACTTTTCTATAGAGATGCTTTTGTTTATGTGACTCAGGCACGCACTCGGGATTCAAAAGTAAGGTGGGTTAACTTTTAGGCCAATTTTTCCAATCGAAAAGTTTCACTTGAAAATTTGGCGAGTCTACTTTGTTTTTATTTATTTTATAGAATATTAACAAGGATGGAGGTGAGTGAAAAGTCACTAGTGGGGATAGAAGATGCACACACAATACAATATAGTTTGCATATAAGTAGCGGTCAATGGACACGCAGATGTGAGGTTGGAGTCACCTCAGTGGATTCTTAAAAATTCCCAAGTTTTCGGTTAGACTGGCCTAACTTATTTCTAATGAGCTGAGCATGTAGTGTGAGGAACACCAGGGAGTAACTGCAATCCTGGTATCTCAAAGGAGATTTTCTCTCCTCTGTTAAATTCTGCTTTCTGTAAACGGATGGATGAGCATCCCTCCTAAAAGTAAGTATGTATGTACTTAACGTATGAGTTACTTTTACAAGTCAAGGTATATACAAAAACCAAAACTCATTCAATCACGCGTGTATGTTGATGAGATTTATAATCAAATTAAAAAGTGTTTTACAAACAATGGCATTCTCATATCTCGTTTCCTTTAATTATGGCATGCAGAGTGGAGAGTGTCGATAATATTGTGGGAAGCATTTGTAAACTAAAAGCTATAGCTACAAAGGGCGACATAAAAACGATTTGTACGTTTCTTCTTTTATTTGTGAAATCGTTATTGTAACAGAAAAATGACATTAAAATACAGAGACTGACATAACAATCAAAGAGCACTATAACAAGTTTGATGAACTGTAATGGTAAGGGGAAGAGATGGCCCGCTTTTGTTTGATAAAATTTCGAAAAGATTGGCCTCAGTGAGCATATGAAGAGCCAAATACATTCTCAAGAAAGACCGATAACCTTTCCGGTAGTGGTGTCAATATCAATGTCAAGAAGCAACGCCTAGTCAGGAGAGATTGATGCGCAATTCCTTTCGTCAGTTATAAGACTAATGGGAGGAAGTGACTAACCGCTGCTCTTCCATCATCGGCATGATGGATACAAATAACTGCATCATATGCCCCAGCACCATAGACTTTTGTGTTTGATATATATGCCTGGCCAAAATTCACACAACCGGCCTCAACCAGAGCCACATTCTCAGTTATGCAGGCATTACTACGCGGCTTCCCAGCAACAATTTCCAGCCCACCACCCTGCATTTTCAAGGCCCTTATAGTTGCAACTACAACTGCACAATGTGGTGTTGAACCACTATACCGGCATTTTATATTCATGAACTTCTCAGTATCAAAACCAGCTTCTGTGACCACCAACCCACCTGAACCAACCAGTTTCAGTGCACAGTGTTTGCAAAAGAACCAGCAGCATGAACAAGAACTTGAGTCCCTTCAAGAGTCTGCCTTAATGGAGGGTTGATAGCATCCTTCATTAATTAGCATCATTAATGCACCTCTTGCACCAGGATCATCAACACTTTCTGTTTCCAATCACCATTTGTCCATCTCCGCCAGAGACGTCCGTAAGGGCCAATACTGTCATTATTTCAGTGGCAACCGAAGCATCAAATCATGTTTCCCTTGCCATTCCTTCCTCTTACCCTATCCATCTCCAGCCTTCACCTCTTTCCCACATGTGCAAACACAACTTTGCACTAGAGCACATTGTCCCACCCCTTGCCTAACTACTTTTGTTCTTATCCTTCTTTACTATCTATAAGATCGAGAATACTTGTTGGATTTACTACATGTGATGATCTTTCCCGAAAAAAAAAAAAAAAAAAGGTATACTACTTAATTTTATTTTCTCCATATCTAAAATGGTGTCCTCTGATTTTGTTGTTTCTTCTGTTTATATTGCTTCTGGTTACGTCTAAGGAGTTGAGCATATATAAGCTCGTTCCATGTATCAGGAACACCAGGGAGGCACCAGTGACTGCAATCCTGGATCATAGGTGGTTTTCTCTCCTCCTCGGTTAAATTTGGCTTTCTGTAAATAGACGGATGAGCATCCTTCCGGAAATCAGTCATTGTTGTAATGTTCAGATAGAAGATTGGCGTCTTCATTTTCTTGACTACTGAGTCCAAGATTTTCATGTTCGATGGATATTCACCTCCATATTCCGTAGATTCCATGTTTGTAGTTGGCTTTGTCTCACCGTGACAATGCCCTCCAGAATTCCATTCTCCACCTCTGTGAAAGGGTAAAAAGATTATGAAGATGCAATACATTTGCTAACCAACCATGCGGTTCTGAAAGTCAAAGTACTTCATGTATTTAATGTACCTAAAGTGAGAAGGTGAATAGCCCCGGAAGAAAACAGCAGTTTTCTTAGGATTTATATTGGTGTCCACCCATCTTGCCCATGTCGTTAAAGCTTTCTCAAATGCGTCGTCGACATTCAATTCACCATATACATGGCTACCCTCTTGATAGTAACCCTTCCTGCAAGATAATTAAATAATGTAACTTTCCAGCCCAGTTTCCTAACATCAATGACATGGTGTGAAAGGGAGCATGAGTCTTACCCACTGGAAGTTTTCTCATGCGTCCACCAGTGACCTGTGTTAAAGATGAGAACATCTGCATTTTTGTAGTTATCAGAGGATCTCTCAATCAAATCAATGCGAAGTGTTTCCTTTTTTGATCCACTTGGTTCTGGCATCTCCCATTCTTGAACTAGAAATCGCGATTGAAAGAACTCCACTGAACAATTATAATCCTTTGATCCATTCAAGAACAAATACATAGAAACTACTTTAGACTAGCAACACCAAAACAAAAGAACGAAGAATTCATAAGGCTATAAATTCCAAATGAGATGATAGATGATGAACAACATACCTCGAATATAAAAGAGTAAGAACCCTCTGTACGAAATTCTTCCCTACCAGAGACTTCATAAACTTTGCTCTTATTATCCACTGAATTTCTAAGAATACAGAGCAAAGACTCCCACATATTCCTATTGAGAGAATCACCAACAAAAACTAGACGCTTTCCTGTCAATAGTCTCAACATCTTCTTACCATTCAACCTGCACAAGACCAAAACCAACTTCACTAAGACAGAACCAACAAGCTTTTCGAAGTTCACTTGCAACATAATAACCAATTAGAAGCAAAACCATTCTCGGAAATTACCTCAAACTAGAAGTCAAAGCAAATAAAATATAGCAGAAACAAAGCACACTTAAACTAGAAGTGAAAACAGTTCTGCAAATTACCTTGGGATATTGCAATGTTTGGGTTGCCATCTATACCTCTCGTAACCATTATCAGGCCTACCGTTAAGAAAACAATTGAAAGGCTCATCTATAAGAGGGCAAGACCCCGGAGCATAAAGTGGGTACCAATTATCTCTCACCCAACTTCCATCAAATATGTCACAAGCATTCATCAACTCAGACTTCAATTCAGTTTGTTTGCCTTGCTTCTTAGACGAGGACATTTTACCATCACTTTTCTTTTTCGAACCATGTTTTCCATTGGAGTCTTCAGAAGAAGAATGAGAACGCACTTTAGAATCTTTAGGCTCCTTTGTGCCCTTTCTTTTCTTGGAGCCCTCCACTTTCCTGGAAAATTCGATTTCGGTGTTGCTGGAAGTCTGATTGGCGGATTCTGAGAACAAGGAAAGAATTGGGTTCGATGATTGAGCATCCTCATTATTATTTCCCTTCAAGCTTTCATTTTTCACCTCACCAACCTTCAAACTTGCAATCTCATCCAAATGTGGTGAAGAATCAGGTTTCCAGGCAAAAGGGTCAATTTTCCGGGAAAGCTCCAAATGGGCATTTGGGTTCTGAGGAGAAGAGTAGAAGGAGGCATGCAGGATGCTCTTGAAGCGCAGAGGAAGAGGGTTGAAAACCAAGAAGAAAGTGCAGGCAATGAAGGCGAATGTGAATGCATAAGTAAAGGCCATGGATTTTCTTTTGCTGAACAAGATCGAAAGCAGAGAAAAGTTGCTGGGGTCTATTTTTGTGGGCGATGAGTGCCTTGTTGAAGGTGGGCTTGTATTGCTCATGGCCGCTATGGAATCTGGAACTGTGATATGCGCAACTGAGGGCCGAGGAGAGACAATTGTCATCGACTCGGCTATTAACCTTGTGTGCAATTGGTGCCTTGTTGGATTGGATTGAGGAGAATCCGCCATTGTTATATAACTTGGTGTTTTTGTTGCTTCTGTAACTCAACAATAAAAACTAACTGAGGACAGGGAAGAAGGGTCTGATGTGAGTCTGCTTTATGACAACCCTGACTTGCCTGAAAAAGAGAGAAAGAGATGGTAGAGAAGACACAACGCAGTTTTGGGTTTGGTTGATTTCAATTGTCGTGAGAATTCATGCCACTTTTCTGTTAAGTTGTGGTTAATTAGTTAACTTAGTTCAAGACATTTGCTATTTTTGGAGATAAGCAGGCAAGTGAGATTCTGTTCTGTTTGCTTGTTTTTTATTTTCTGTTTTTTCAGTTGCTCGTTGGAAGATCAACTGTTTCTTTTTGTCTTCCTTTTTTCCTTTTTTATTTATGGGAAGATGCTAAATCCACCACATTTTTGGACTACATTAATTAACTACATGATGCAATCAATTATGACGTGTAATTGGTGCTATTTTAACTTTATAATCTGGATTATCAGATGCATCTAATAAAATCAAAAAATAATTTTATAATTATTATTCATTATAATCCTCTTACCTATTTTCTGATATGAACACGTGCATGATTTAATTTGCTAGGCAGTGATTGATGTAAACACCAAATGTGTGGTTGTACAGAAACAACTCTTATAATAGAATAAATTATTCATCGGGTTAAAAAACACAATAAGCCAAGTTATCAACCTCAGAGATTTCTTTATTTGTGAAATCGCTATCTAGTAATACAGAAAACTGGCTCAAGGAGCGAAAAACACAATTTCAGAAGTTCGAAGAACCGTATTGGTAAGGTTGCCTCTGTGAGCTTAGGGAGAGCCAAATGCAGAATGACATTCAAGAAAGACCAATGACCTTTCCGGTGGTGGTGTCAAGATCAATGTCATAGAAGCAAGGACGAGTCGGAAGACCCGGCATTGTACTCATTGTTCCCACCAAAGGATATATAAATCCGGCTCCAATGCTAGCCCTTACATCCCTTATTGGTAAGACAAATCCGGTGGGGGCTCCTTTCTCAGAAGCATTATGTGAGAATGAATACTGGGTTTTTGCCATGCATATTGGCAGACCAGAAAACCCCTGCTTGCTGTACATCTCAATCTGTTTCTCAGCCTACTCACACAAATGAAGAAAACTCATATCAATAAGCACGTCCAGTATACTTCTATTACAAGAGTTTTAATTCAGTGGTGCCAAGAATAAAATGAAAGGAGAAATCAGAAAGTATGTCTCACACAAATGAAGAAAACTCATATCAATAAGCAAGTCCAGTATAATTCTATTACAAGAGTTTTTATTCAGTGGTGCCAAGAATAAAATGAAAGGAGAAATCAGAAAGTATGTCTACCCTCTCTAGAAGAATCAAGTTCTGTTTGCAGCACAATACATGGTTTTTTAAAAATGAGAAAAACAAGACAAATAGTTGCATTCATTGGTAATTTGTCTATCAATGAATCAAAATTAAATTAACTCCAGATATTGAACTTCAAGGATCTCACAACAGATGAGCTTACCTGCTCTGAGTATTCAACACCGCTTGCACCATATGACCTGGCTATTGCCTCTATCTTCTCTTTAATACTAAAATCCAAAGGGTATAGAAATTTCAATGGTTGTGTAACATTCTCACAGGCTCTTTGGACTGCAATCCCTAGATCTACCTGAACATCACAATAAACTTCATCAACTATGCAGACCATTTATGGCAGTCTAGAGAAATACAAGGAGCAAGTTATACATGCAGTTTCCTGGACCAATGGAAGCTCCAGCCTTCAACAGATGCAGACATTGGTAGATTTTCTAATTTTCTTGATATTTATTTCTTTGCTATAGTTGAAGGTATTTTTCATTCTAAGATGTGCCTATTGTCAGAAATGTAATGATTCGAAAGGAAGTGAGGGAAAGCAACAACACAAGCATAGTTGAATACAGTTAAAATCACAATTCAAGAAAAGAAAAATGAAAAAAGACATTGAAGCCTAAGCACACGATGGAATATCTTTGAAGAACTATGATTCATCATACGCTGCCAAGAGTACTATTAGGCTCCAACAGCACGTAAAAGAAAGAAGAAGTGAAAGTCTAAACTCGGTTTATCCTGGGAGTAAAACTGGCATTGCAAATTGTAGTGGGGTGTCCACTGCAAGCAAGAAGAAAAAGCTTCTGCATCATGCAATAAGGTAATTCTAGAGCTCACAAAATGCTTAGTGTAGATCCTATAATTTTGTACTCTCTCACATAATTTCTATATGCTTCAAGAGAAAGAAATTGATCTCTTTTAGTCAACAAAAACTAATTAGTTAAAGGGATATATGACTAACCGCTCCTTTTCCACCATGGGCATGGTGAGTACAAATAACTGCATCATATGCCCCAGCAGCCAATGCTGAATTTCTAACTGCATTTAGTTCTGCTTCACTGTCAGTCGAGAACTTGTTCACAGCAACAACAACATTCACACCGTAGGCTTTAGTGTTTGAAATATGCTTGGCCAAATTTATACAGCCTGCCTCAACCAAAGCCACGTTCTCAGTTATATAGGCATTGTTAAGAGGCTTCCCAGCAACTACATCCGGCCCACCACCATGCATTTTCAATGCCCTTATGGTTGCAACTATAATTGCACACTGTGGTGTTAAACCACTATACCGGCATTTTATATTCATGAACTTCTCAGTACCAATATCAGCACCAAAACCAGCTTCTGTGACCACAAACCCACCTGGTCCCACCAGTTTCAGTGCAATCTTATCAGCCACAATAGAGGAATTCCCGTGCGCAATGTTTGCAAAAGGACCGGCATGAACAAGAACCGGGGTCCCCTCAAGAGTCTGCATTAATGTAGGGTTAATAGCATCCTTCATTAAAACAGTTAATGCACCTCCTACGCCAAGATCATCAGCAGTTACAGGGTCACCAGCCCTGCTGTTTCCAATCACCATTTTCCCAAGCCTCTCCCTCATATCTGCTAGAGATGTTGTAAGGGCCAAAACTGCCATTATTTCACTGGCAACTGAAATATCAAATGCTGTTTCTCTCACCATCCCTTTCTCATCAGGGCCTTGACCGATTGTAATCTTCCTCAAGAACCGGTCATTTATGTCCATTACTCTTCTCCATGTGATAGAATCTGGGTCAATATCAAGCCTAGCAAATTTCTTAACTTCTTCTGGGGTAAGATCCTCAGGACTGGTCTTGGAGATGCCAAGCTTCGTCAGACGTCTAAACATGATGTCATTAAAGCTCCGTTTCCCTTCTTTGTTTGGTGGGCATAACCGGTTCATTAGAGCCTTATCTGATTGGGTTGCCTCATGGAAAATCCGAGTATCAATGGCAGCAGCCAGAAGATTGTTTGCAGCTGTAATTGCATGAATATCTCCTGTTAGGTGAAGATTAAACTCATCCATTGGGATCACTTGACTGTAACCACCACCTGCTGCACCCCCTTTAATTCCAAAAGTTGGTCCTTGTGATGGTTGACGAAGGCAAGTAACAACCTAATATCATAAAATAAAAGGGGAGAATAGGTGATCAGGACCATACTATCTACTTCTGATATATAACTGACAATTTTAAAAGTTTTCTATCCAAGAAATTGTCGTAACAATATAAAATTCCATTAGCATTGAGAAGCAGTACTAAGGAAAGCTGGACAAGTCTCTACCTTTGGCAGGACCTGCTTTGTTTTTAAGTCTTTCATACAAACTGCAATATTACAAGAAAACTTAAAAACAAAGGAGATAAATACAAGGCATACTTGAAATACTTTGCTTTACATTTTGAATAAGACAAGATGGAACAAATGAACTGATTTCTTATCTTATCAACAGGATTCTCTTTCGCAATAAAACACACTCTATCTCTTCAGATGCAGAGTAAACAGGATTAGTATGCAGAGAAAAATTCAAAAACCAGCAGATAAACTTGCGTATGCATCTTGTTATTAATGCTTGACAGTCTAATACTCAGTGGTGTTTTTGCTCACCAATTAAACACTCCAAACTCAGCATTAATATTTAAACTCAGTTTCTTGATAAGAAAAACAAAAGCAGCCCCAAGTATAATCAATAACAAACAGCAAGTAATCAGTTTAAGAATTGCTGATTCCAATTTTTTTGTTCTTCTTTTGATAAGCAAATTCCTAGAAATGAAAATATGGACAGAGCATTAGATTGTTGTATCTTAACAAATCCAAAAGATAAAACAAATTTTCTATCAAAAACCAAAAAGGTAAAAAAATTTCACCTTCTTATCCTGAAAAGCACCCAAAGCTTGACAGAGTCCAACAGTAGTGGTAGACTTGCCTTCTC